AGGCGAACGTGATAACCACTACACTACGGAAACCGATGCCTAGGACGCCTTTGTTAATGTATTTGACTGTGAACCGCGATGGCGACGCCTTGTGGATGGAGCTGGGGCGGCCGTGTATACTCATAGCAGATTGTGGCAGTTGTGCATTTGGTCCCTCCTAGGGAACGCGAAGTATAGTTCACTTTCTGTCCGTGCTTCTTCTAGCCCTGCAAATCCCGAGTACCTTGGTCATTGATTGGGATAAAACTTTCAAAGCAAGAGGAACTATTTGTATGTAAGGGTAAAACGATAAGCGGGCTCGTCCGGGATTTGAACCCGGGACCTCTCGCACCCAAAGCGAGAATCATACCCCTAGACCAACGAGCCAGTCAGTTTAGCTCGGGCTGTTCATCTCTGATCTGATTGAAACACTGTTAGCCTCTGACCACCCAGCGCCCCCCTCAGGGATCCAGGACTCCGCAGCGCTTCCGAGCCCTGCGCGCTCCGCAGTCCCGCAGCGCTCTTCCCTCGAAGAGCGCGGCCGCGGACTGGGACCTGGGCCCGGCGTCCCTAGTGGCCTGTGTGCCGGGAAAGGGGTGGAAGATCTTTCATAGAATTTTGTGAACTTGCAAAATGTTCAGAAACTAGGTGCTGGCGGGTCGGGGCGCAGCGTCACCGGCCGGGCGCTGCTGCCTCCGCCTCGCTCGTCTGGAATCGCCCAGAGCTTTCACTGCCCTGAAGTATTTAGTAGTAGGAGACAGCAGTGCAGCTCCGCAGGCATTAAATTCGCAAAAATTCACTCAGAGGTGGCTCGTCGCTCTATTTTTGGATAGCCAGCACAAATTTCCTACACCTCTGGCTGTTACAAATCTGTGTCGCAATCTGCCCGAGACTGAAGGTGGCGAGAACACCCTGAGGACGGGGACAATCTCTACTAAACGGTGAGGCGAAAACCGCTGCCGCATGCAATAGACTGAAACTAGACCCTATCGCATCGGTTACAAAAATCAACTCCAAAGGGATTAAAGACTTAAATATAATGCCTGAAATTATGAAACTGCTAGAAGAACGCATAAGGAAAACGATTCGTGACATTGTCCTGGACAAGGATCTCAGAAGCACAAGAAACAAAAACAAAACTAAATTCATGAGATTACATCAAACCAAACAGCTTCCGCACAGTAAAGGAAGCCATCAACAAAGAAAGCCTAAAAAATGGGAAAATATTCTCAAACGGCACCTGACAACGGATGAATGTCCAGAATGTATAAGAAACTCAAACATCACAGGGGGAATAACTCCAATTAAAAAGAAGCAAAATAACAAATATCAGGGAAATGCAAATCATACCCACCACGTGTGTATGTTAAGGTCTGGAACTAAAATGCCCTCCCAAAGTCTCAGTTCAGAGGTGGGCCTGGGCTAATGAGACAGGTCACAGGGGCATGGCTGGAAGGGTGTGTTCCTGTCCCTGAGTCCCTCCCGCTCCTCCTCCTTCCTGGCTCCCAAGGGTTGAGCAGCCACCCTCCACCAGGCCCTTCTGCTGTTCCTTCCTGCTTTGGAGCCAGCTGACTTGGACTTAATGCACTGAAATTGTGACCCAAATTAAACTTTTCCTCTTTTAACTGGTGGAGCCAGGCATCTTGTTCCAGTAACGAATAAGTGATTCATGCAACACATTTTTTAGTCTTTGTGTTCTATCCCATAAGTATATGTAGTTATTGGCACGTATAGCAGTGTTCAACTGTAATCCCAGCTGTCTTGGAGCTGAATGAGAAGGGTTTCACATTAGCACCCAGCCTGGGTAATTTACCACTTTAGGGAAACTCTACATCAAAATAAGTGAAAAGTGTGACAGTCCTAAATTTAATTCTAGTACCACTAGGGAGCACGCACGAAGGGGAGTGGGGGCAGAGGGAGAGAGGGACTGAGAGACGGAGAGAGGGAGAGAGGGAGAAGGGGAGAGGAGAGAGAAAGAGAGGGAGAGGGAGGGAAGAAGGGAGAGGGAGGGGGAGAGAGAGACAGAGACAGAGAGAGACAGAGACAGAGAGAGACGGAGAAACAGAGACAGAGGGAGAGACAGAGAGACAGAGACAGAGAGAGACAGAAAGAGAGAGAGAGAGACAGAGACAGCGACAGAGAAAGAGAGAGAACGATCGAGCGCGCGCGAGCTAGACGCGGGTCCCGGCGACCTGGGCTGCACAAGAAAGTCACCTTCCTGCAGGACAGGCACTGCGTGACGAGAGGCCGAGCACAGGCCTCACCCCGCGGAGGAGGGCTTCTGGCCGGGACTACTGTGGACCTCGGTTTGCACTCCTTTGTACGCGCGAGTGCGCCGCAGGTTCTGGAGAGGAGCCGCTGCGTGAGGCGGAGCACCCTGCCAGCCCGCGCGGAAGTGGCGCCAAGAGTCGCTGTCTCCGTCCCAGGCAGGGCGAGTGTCCAGTCCATCTAAAAAAAAAAAAAAAAAAAAAAACATCAAGTTCTTGGGCGAGCCTTGTGTGGAGGCGAAGAAAGGAAAATGGAAAGACCCTAAGGAGAGGGAGGGAAAAGCGGGCTCGCTAGTTCACGGAAAGGCAAAAGACTGTAAGGCCCCAGCGAGATTTGAACTCGCGACCCCTGGTTTACAAGACCAGTGCTCTAACCCCTGAGCTATGGAGCCTGCTACGGTGGAGGTGCCTGCGCACAAATAGTTGTCGCCGCTGTCACCGCGCAGCCGCAGATCAAGATTAAGCGGCTGGTCCACAGTGGAGCAGAGCCACAGCCAGCCTCGGCGTCGGGAGGAGTCAGCCTAAGCGCGTCCAGACACTGCCCGGGAAAAGAACCCGCGCTGGGCTTCAGGGCAGATCTGGGTCTCAGGCTGAAAAAGGTCGAGCTGAAGAGAGATGTAGTAACCGGTTTATTGTGCACAGGAGGGGGTTCTAGAGGCAGCACTGAAGGAAGGACATCAAAAGGCCTGTCGTGCAGGAGATCTGGGTTAGCACTGGGTCAGGTGTGGACTTGACCTGGCTGAAAGGAAGTGGTGGGGAAATCGTAAGGTCAGGGTGTTCGAGGTGCTCCCCAAGGACACAGCCAAGGTCCGGAGTCTCCTACTTCCTGCCTGATTTGTGGACCAATCAGAAAAAAGGCAAAAAAAAAAAAAAAAGAAAAGAAAAAAGAAAAAAAGCGATCCTTAGGGCACATCTTGATCCTCTGAAAGCTGGGCTGTTGGAGTCCCTAAGGGGCCCACCAGGTAGAGGACAAGGAAAGAAGTGAGGGCCAAAGAGAGGGACAGCAAGTAAAAAGGCGGAGGATCCAGTGATAGAGGCGGAGTAGCTGTGGATCAGAGAGCTTGGCTGGGTGGCCCAGCATGTCCTAACCGTCCCTACAAGCCCAACCGACTTGAGTCACTGGGTGGCTGGGCCAGTGGTAGGCCTCTGAATGCCCTTTAATCTGAATGCATAGAAACCTTCCAGGACCTGGTGGCAGTCCTGGGTTCTCCCAGATCTGGGACTAATGGGTGGGGTACACAGGACCTGCCAGTCTAGTTCCTGTTCCCAGATCTGCCGATACCTAAAAGAAGGAGGGGGGAACTGCAGGCTTTCTCACATTAGCACTGTGTCACCCAGGTTCTGTGGCCTAGTTGTTCTTGTGTCCAAGAAAGAACAGCTCTTCCCCTCTCTGTAATTGTTTCAGTAACTGGTTACATTTCTTCCTGTATATAGATGTCTGTAGTTACTCTGCAAGCACGCATTCTCTGATAAACACACAATCACCTTCACAAACAAAAAAGCTGCAAATACACACCTAGACAGCTACTGCCACAGCCCCCATGTGCCTTTCAGACCCATACTGGCACCTGTCTCAGCCATCCAGCCCTTCGTGACCTGTAATGTTCTGTAATACACAGCACAGTCAGTTGTTAAGTGGCCCAAAGGGAATTGTGCCTCCATCGCCCAAATGTCAGGATTATAGGTGCACCCTACATGCCCAGCCTGCTTAGTGGTATGGTTTCAATAAAAAATGTCTCCTGGTGCCAGGTGTGGTGGCACAGGCCTGTAATCCCAGCACCTGAGAGGCTGAGAATGGAAGATTGCCATGAATTCTAGGCCAGCCAGGTGTACAGAGTGAGTTCAAGGCCAGCCTGAACTACACAGTGAGACTGTCTCAAAAAAATAAAAAGGGGGGCAGGGGAGGCCACCCAGCCAGATAGCTCAGCAGATTAAAGCGCCTGCTTAGGCAGACACAAGGGCAGGGGGTTTGATCCCCTGTGTGCTGTGCCAGCCCCACTTCCGGGGCACGCTGAGATGGGAATGAGACTGGACATGGTAGTGTATGCCTGTAATCCCAGCGCTTGGGAGGCTGAAAAACAGGAAGGATCACTAGAAGTCCGATGTGTGTAGTGAGACCTTGAGATCCTGTACTAAAAACTAAAAACTAAAATGTCTCCCAAAAGTCTCATCTATCCAGAAGTAGAGCTCTTGGAAAGTGGCTGTATAGGGAGGCACTGTACCCACCAGTGGAGTCAAGGCTGAATGTGTTGATGAGGTGGGAGCCTGCCCAAGGTGAAGTCTATAGCCCAACCTGGAAGGGCAGGTGCCTGTCCTGTGCTCCCCCTTCTCTCTCTCTGCTCCCTGGCTGCCAGGAACATATGGGTTCTGCTCTGGAGCCAGCCAGATATGGACTGAATCCACTGACACTGTGAGCCGAAATAAACCTCTCCTCCTTTAAGTTGTGGGTGCCAAGTATTTTGTCCAAGTGATAGGAAGGTAACTAATACAGATGGATGGTACCTAACAAGAAATCAATAGCAGGGCATGGCCAGTGGACTCGGATCTGTTTGCAGCACTCTACCCCTACACCTCTACTCACAAATGCCCTAAAATCCACATGCCTCTCACCCCACATGTCAGGTGCAAACACAGCACTCATAGTCCTCACATACAAGAACACAGGTGCAGCTGCTCAGTCTTTATTACCAGAAACTCTTGCTCAGGCTTGGCCTTTTATAATCCAAACAGAAATGAGAACAAGTCAAGTAAAGATGGGCACACAATCTGTATTTCCATCTCCCCGTGTCCCTTTCCAGGAAAGCAATAAGGAGGGTTCAACCCACCACCACCACCCTCCCATAAGCCCAGCCATCCAGAGGCTGGGAAACATCATCCAGGAAAATAATGAGGCTGACCTGCTGAACACCCTCCTGGACACAGGTGGGGCGGGCCTTGGCACCAGGAAACTACTGTTAGCATGCATTTGGCAAGTTCCAATAGTCTGTTGGGAGCATGTTTAGGTTCTGTGGCTTTCTGTGCCAGTGCTAGTTGTATCTGTGAAATTATCTGTGTCCAACATGTGTTTAAAAATTCTAGAACCTTTGATTTCCTCACCACAAGGAGACTGTACCCTGATGCTAGAAATAAGTTTAGGTATCTGTGAGAACACAGGTCGAGAATGTACAGATCCCTCTGCATTATCAGGCTGAGCGGTGCTGGAGAGTAGTAACACCCATAAACTGTTGTCCTCACCCTTCCCTTCTTCTGTGGGTCAAGAGTCTCCTAGTTCTAACCAGACTGAACACTGAGCTAGGAGGACAGTGTGTTTTTCTTAGTAGGTAGCCAGGTGCAAGGCCAGCTACAGCCAGAGATCTCATGAATTCTCAAAGCAGAGGTGGCAAGAGGACAAAGTAATAATCAACATGGCTGACCGTGGGCCAAACCTGCCCCTTGCATCAGGGCCACAGTGTGGCATCACTCCATGCAACCAGAACACTTTTTAAATCAAGCAGTAAGGGGGCTGGGGAGATGGCTCAGTAGAATAGCAGCTTGTCTGGCAAGTTTAAGGGCCTAAGTTCAATCCCCGGTTCCACAAAAAATAAAATAAAATAAATCAAGCAGGAAGTTTCATGTAACAAGAAGCACCCATGCCAACAAAGGATTTTGTCTTCAGCCACATCTTCAAAATCAAGGCCACATTTACACGTCCAGCAATAGAGAGGAAAACTGCCCCTAAAGTCCAAGGCGTCTCTTCCCCTACTAAGTTGATCATAGAGCCTTTACCTCCATCAATCAACTCTCCATGTTTCCCATGTTGTGCTCTGTAGGGCAGCCTGGAGCAGGAGTGGGGCGGGCAGGCCCAAGACTGAGAGTAGGAGGAGAAGAGTTCACACACAACTGATGCACGCTCCTCCCTGGAGGCTCTCCTCCTTCAAGGCCAGATCCGCAAGTAGGTACCAGTGGAGCAGACTGAGAAAAGGGGCAACACACGCTCCTGGAAGTTGACTCGGAAGGTATAGAGGTGGCGCATGTCCTCCACAGCATAGAAGGACACAGCCCCCACCTCCAGGTCCAGGGCCACCCGCACACGTGACAGGTGCCCACAGCTGAGGGGTGTCCGCTCAGGGCTGGTGACCGCCCAGTACTGCCCGTTGTTGAGCTGCAGCGCCCAGACACCTTCCTCTGGGGTGAAGGGCGTGAGACCCTTGCGGCGCACACTCTCACGGGCCACACCAAAAGCCCAGCCGTCCTTGGAGCCCACTTCTACCTCCCAGTGGTGACGCCCAGAGGAGAAACCACAGGATGCCAGGACACGAGTATTGGTGTCAAAGCGGTGAGGGTGACTGGGCAGGTCCTGAGCCCGATGGCCAAGGCGCACACTCTTAAGATCCAAAGAGAGGATAAGACGAGGGTTGGCGGTGTTGGGGTCCAAGGTGAGCTCCACTGTAGGGCAGAACAAAGGGAAGATGTCCTCGTGCAAGTTCTTCCCACAGCCCCCTCCTCCTGGAGCCATACTCCCTCCCTTCCTTGCAAATCTGTCTTCCCTTCCCAGAAGAACCTTTCCAGTGCCAAGGACCAGTCAACCCTCCACCCTCTTCCACACAGGTATTTTGCTGCACCACGCCCCTACTCAGCCAGTGCTCTCTGAAATCAAACAAATGCAATGTGTGAATCTGATCTGGACCCTTGTCCAAGCAGATTAATGGATCCAGCTTCAAAGACAACGGAAAATTTGAGCACTAGATATTTGAATCATTTTCTACATGTGATAATGGTTTTGTAGTTCTGTTCTATAAACATCTCTTTAGAGATGATAACACACTCAGATTTGTATGGAAATACCTGTGATTTGCTTTAAAAATAATTGAGATGTAGATACAAGGTTTGAAAAATCTTACCTACAAACTGATCAGTGCTGTTTGTAGTAACTATACATTTGTTATATGCATATGGTTCAAAATCTCCATAATAAAAAGTTAAAATATGTACTTTTGTGAGCAACATTATTTTCCAGACACTGTCCTAGGTCTTGGAAATATCACAGAGAACAAAACAATTGAGCATCCCTACTCTCCTAACACTACCTTTCTAGCAGAGGGAGAGAGGCAATAAATGATAAACAGGAGGTTAGAGGGATCAGAAGACCAGACTGTAATTTTAACCACTAGGCCAAGGAAAGCCTCATTAGAAAGGAGTGTTTAAGCAAAAACACAAAGGAGACGAGGGATCCAGTCGGGAGGCATACTCCAGGCTGAGGGCTAGAATGCAGTGCAAGGACCCTGGATGCATGCCTGGTATATTGTAGCAGCAGCAAGGATAGTGAGCAATTGCAGAGTGAGCAGGGGTAGTGTGTGCAGAGAGCCCCGGTCCTCTGGGGCCTTGAAGGCCATTGTAAGGAGCATAGGGTTTACTAAATGTATGAGACAGGGGTATTGCAGGATGCTGAGCAAGGGAGAAACACAGTTTCAGCCAAATTTGGTTAGATCTTACCATGTGTGCTCTGACTTAGCTCAGTCTTCAATGTAAGTACTACGCGCCCTACCTCTCACCCTTGGAGTTAGGTACCACACACCCTAGAGCTCTCAGGAATAATACCTACCTTTCTTCCTGCCTACCATCTGCCTACCAGCTTCCCCTGGTCCCCTGAACATAACCCTTATACCCAGGAGAGGTTTTCATCTATGTTGATGTGGAGATAAATAAGAAAGTCTCATCCCGGTGAGAGAGAGGCTTTCCCAAGTCTAAGTACCCTGAGGCCACAATACCCTCCTCATTCACTGACACCAGAGTGGCAAAGTTGCTAAGGTGAAACCCAGGAAGGGACTGGAACAGTATAGTCATCGAGGCAGGTTGCCACAAGGAGCCAACAGTGTGCAAAGCCCAGAGACAACCAACAGCAGGGTTAAGTTCTCTGTTCTACTCACTATTAGCCACTGTCCATACCTTTCTCCTCTTTCTCCATCTCCCCTTGAAGGTCCTCTGAAAAGAAGAAACAAAGCAGAGCATGCATGAACAACATGGGAGACTATCTGGCAAGAACACCACTCCTCCAATGTTGATGACCCATCTGATTCACTCATTCCCACGGTACTCTGAAAGCAAGAGTTGGTGTAGAGGCACAGGGCCCAGCATGGGAGCAAAGTGGACAGGGGACCGACCCCTTCCCACCTGCTCTCCCTCTCCCCACCTCCACCGATCCAGTCTGAGCTGAGCTCTCCTTCTCCACTCCTGTCCCCAGTACCCCCTCACCGTGTATAACCCCACGGAAAGCTGCATGCCCTGGGAGAACCCACGAATAGACTTCCTACTACTTTCTTTCTATACTACACCAACCCGGTCTTGTCACCTCTCAGTGCCCGCTCCTTCACACAGGCTCTGGGACTGCACACCCCAGAATACCTGAGCTCCCAGAAATGTGCCACTATCTCACACTGCATGAACCAGCTTATGCTCGGGCCTTTACCTTTGAACTTCTTCAGCAATCCTTTTAAGACAAAGGTCTTGAGAGAAACATTCCAGACTTTATTCTTCATCTTAGAGGAAACTGTGGTTGGCTTGGGGGCAGGCACATTGCTGCACCTGCAGCACAGAGACCCTTAGAAATGCATATGAATACCACTCCTGCCAGGCATGGTGACACATGCCTATAATCCCAGCACTGGGGAAGCTGAGGCAGGACTGTTACCAGTTTGAGACTAGCCTGGGCTATAAAGTGAGCTGAAGGCCAGCTTGAACTGCATAGCAAGACCCTATCTCAAAAAGACAGACAGACAGACAGACAGACAGACAGACAGACAGACAGACAGAGAAAAAAGAAAGAACACAATACCACTCTACTACCACAGGGATATGATGATTGTAATGGTTCTATGGTTGAAATAAGTGTTGTCCCCCAAAGCCTACGTGTTAAAGGCTTGGCCCCAGTCCATGGTGCTCTGGAGAAGTGGTGGAACTGTCAGGAGATGAAGCCTAGCAGGAAGAAGTGGGATCACTGGTGGCATACTCCTGAAGGGGATGTTAGGACTCTGGTCCCTCCTCTCTTCTCTTTTGTTTCCCAGCCACTTCCTCCACCACACACTCTTACATCACTTGACCACCAGCTCAAAAACAGTTAGGCCAAGCAACCATCAAGTGAAACTCTGAAACCATGAGCCCAAATAAACCTTCTACTTCTCTTAAGTTGATTACCTTAGACTGTTTTGTCACAGTATGCAGAGCTAACTAAGACCTCAGATGGTGAGGTTATCTTGGCAGAAAGTGGTAGAAAGGGGTAAGGAAAAGTTGGGTCTTGTGCAGCAAATACCCATAGCCATGCAAGGGATCACTTGCCCCAGGAGGCATCCAGATAAATATGTCAGGGTTTGGGAATCAGAAGGTGAGAGACATCCGCATCTTGTACAGCAATTAACCACTAAGAAGAATATATGCAGTGTATTATTTGTTGAAACTGTACTTCCGATTTGATTTGAAACTGTCTCATTGCTATCTGTTTATCAATAAAACTTTGGAAAAAAAAAAAAAAAAGAAGGTGAGAGACAGAGGAGGAGACAAAAGAGAGAACCAGGGTAGAAAGACCCAAAGAACTTAGACTCACTCACTTGCTTAGTGCATTCTTGAATTCCTGGAAGGAAAAATGGAAGAAAACCAAGTCAGCATCCGGGACCTCCATTCATCTCTGAGAAAAGAAAGCTCACACCTGTCCCTATCTTCAGGAAAATAAGCAACAAGTGAGCAATATGCAGGTGTATAATACCCACCACCTGTGTGAAAGGCCTACCAAATGACCGTGTCCAGCATGTCTGGCTGCGGAGTGATCCTCAAACCCTTACTACAGCTCTGAGAAATTTTTATTCACTACAGAATCACAATTGGAGCCATCTGGTTGGTATCCAGTGTCTGAATCTGCTCTTGAAATAACCGGAAACAAATCACAGATCATAGACAAGGATGGGTCACTTGCACCAGTGTCTTTCTTCCCCCAGTACTGAGGACTGAACCTGGTACATTGCATACACTAGGCAAGTACTCTACCACTAAGTTATACCCTAATCCTTTTTATTCTTTATTGTGAAACAGGGTCTTGCTAAATTATCCCAGTGAGCCTCAAACTGTCTTCTCCTTCCTTCCTTAAACCCTTATCCCCACCCCTCTGGGATTGCAATATCTGGGATTATAGGTAGATGATGTCACACCCAGCTAAGTGACTATTCTTGACCTATTTGTGGTTTATGAAGTTTATCTAGTGGGTTATAACTTCTTTTATTTTTTAAATTTTATTTATTTATTTTTATGTATTTTAGTACAGGGTCTTACAGGGTCTCACTACACAAGTCAGACTCATAATGATCCTCCTGTTTTCAGCCTACCAAGCACTGGAATTACAGGGGCACATCACCACACCCAGTCTCAGTGACCATCGCAGCTGATCCCAGGGGCGGAGCTGCCACTGCACACTAAAGATTGAACCCTGGTCATTGTGCTTGCATAAGTAGGCACTATAACTCTTTTTTTAAAAAAAATAGAATTTACAGTCATCAAGGTGCATGGGGCTGGTGAGATGGCTCAGTGGTCTAAAGCACCTACTTAGAACAAGCTTAGCAAAGCACAGGGACTGCGGTTCAATCCCCCAGCACCACATGCCAGCCAGCCCCGCCCCCTGGTGGGCAGAGCTGGCCACACACACACACACACACACACACACATAAATAAAATTTAAAAAAAAAAAATCATCAAGGTGCAGTACAGTCAGCAACAGTAATATTTTCAGAGGCTTTTGTCTCAAGTATATGTATAAGGAGTATAATGTAAAACACATGGCTGCAGCTCACAGCCAAGAAAGTTTTAAGGAGCTGGGAACGCAGCTCAGTGGTATAGCGACTGCATAGCATGTGCAAGGCCCAGGGTGTGCTCCCCAGCACCACATAAAAAGAATACAAGAAAGTAACCCATCCTTTTCAACTTGCAACTCCAGAAAAATCAGGGCCTCTCTCTCTCTGCTCCTCTTCAGTTCTAGATACTACTCTCTAGCTGCCATTCTGGTGCTTCAAGAGTAAGTACTACATTGGGATAATTGCCTTTGTTGAAGCCCTGGGCCAGACTCACCTGGAGGAAGTCAAGGTCAGGCTTTTGAGCTGTTTCCTGGATCTGGCTGCTGAGCTTGGAGAGCTGAGTGATCTGGCCTCCCAGCTGGGCCAGATTCTCATTTTGCTTCTGGGTCACTTCCCGGGACAACTCCTCCAGGCGGCCCAGGAGCCGGCCTTCCTGTTCCACCAGGAAGGCCCGCAGTGTCTGGAACTCTGCCCCTATCTTCTCTCTCTCTGCTGCCATCTGCTTCTGTCCCAGGAGGAGGAGAAGTTGGAGAGGTGAGGAGAACTGAGCAGAAGACATACAGCGCGGACCGGAGTGTCTGAGCTCTTCAGCAGGACGGGGTTCCATCCCCCTTACTGCTTCAGGGACCAGAGGCTCCCCCAAGTTAGCCCGCCTTGTTCTCCTCAACTACAGGCATGGCAGGCTCTCTCTCTGGGCTTGAGCTGTACTTAAACTAGGGCAACTTTACACTTCCCCAGATCTACCTCAAGTTGTAGTTGTCTGATCTGAGAAATGAGGATAAATGAGTGTCTCCTGGGGCATTACACTTACACTGCTTTTTATCTTTCCCAAAACATTTATTTTGTCACCCTTCCATGTCACTCTTCATTTTACTTCTTTTAAAAGCACACATTCAGCATCTATAGTGATAATGCATTTCAAAATACAGAGCTTGGGAGAAGCAGGGATGAAGGGACTCAAACATGACACCAGCAGCCAGAGGTAGCAGACCACCCATGAGACCTAGCAGAATACGCTGTGTGAAGCTGGGTGTTGTCTTCTTTCCACTGGCGCAGTACACAGAATGTCTCACTTCTATGTGCTAGATGCAGATTCCTCTTCTGATCTCCTGATGCTGTACATGGGCAATCATGTGGCACTCATCCTGATAATGAGCATGACCTCTCATGCTCAGTGACAATAAGAATTGTGTCCCACCAGGACAAGCTCAATTATCAGAGTTGCTTTCTCCTGAAAACTCTAGGGAAGAGAAGCAGGTGCCTGGAGGAGTAGATCTGCAGTTGGGGGCCATGGTGTTGAGCTAAGGGCACTGGATATGGATCTTGGCTCCCCACACTTCCCACAATTCCCTACCTTGCCTGCATCATCAGATACTGGGCAAACAGCAGCTGCACAGAGCACTTTGTAGATATTAACTCCCTCATCCTGAGACCCCAGTGAAGAGGGCACACTTCTCATCCTGCTTTAGCAGTGAGGGGACAGAGGTAGAGGGACCCATTAGTAGACAGTGATAAGCCAGGAGTCTGAGCCAGGAAAGCTGATCCCACAGGATGAACTTTTGACAACTATATCATGTTGCCGCCCATGGCAAAAAATACAAATGCCCATGATTACCAAAATCTCTTGGGTTTTAAAATACCCCCAAAAGACTCATGTTGGAAAATTTAATGTATAAATTTATATCTTAGTGGTATTTGGAAGCAGGAACTTCCTTTGGGAGGTAATAAAGATTCTTCAACGAGGGTGGGGACCTACCTGACCACCTTAGTGGTTTTTTATAAAGAAGCTAATACAGTGGTGCAATGGTGGTGTGTGGCCCAGGGTTGCTCCACACACAGCTCACCAGTAGCTCCTTGCTTTCCTTCTCTTCCGTAGACCGGAACACCTCATAGTCCTCCAGATCTTTCTTCAAGACCCTCAACTTGGAATCCAAGTGTTCCTGTGGGTGAAAAGGGAGAGGACTGGATCATCCCACCCTCACAGGGCCCTTCCCAGAGCCATGCTCCAGAAAGGGAAGACTGCTTCTGCAGGACGAGGCTGAGTAGAGCAGAATTCCTCTCCAGATGTTGGAATGAAGTCTGTCTGAGATGTGTGTAGGACAACAGGGCAACCACAGGGTGCCCCTAAGTCCTCAAATTCTCACTCCCCCAAAAGATCTCAGCTGAAACACAGGGCCTTCATAGTCCAACCATCTTGTCCCCTGTCTGTCCCCCTCCACTCCAACAGAAAGCCCTTAAGTGAAAGGACTGGGTCAGGGCAGGAGAGCAAAGAAAGACTGTGCCAGAGGTCTCTGCCCACCTCTGGTGACGTCACCTTTACCAAGAACACAGTGTGTGTGGGGGTGTGTGTGGGTGTGTGTGTGTGTGTGTAAGGGTGCCCAAAATCCACCACTTGCATAGCCCAGAGGTCTCCAGGCACTCTACCTAACCCAAAGAATACACACCTCTCTCCTCCACCCCTTGGAAAGTGGTCCTGCCTGCCCAAGGAAGTGGAGACTGAGGGGAGCCCTGCTGGGGAAGGGGAGGAAAGGGGGTACTGCAGACATGTGAGTGTGACACTGACTTCCTACAGGGGCAAAGAGATACACTTATGCTTGGCTTAGAGACCGGGGACAGACTGGAGGAAAGTGGCCAAGGCCCTGGGATCATCACGCAGGCCTACGTTTCACACGGGAAAGTATAGTGTGGGGGTTGAAATGAGGGATGACAGGGGAATCGCTCGCTCGCAGCCTGGAACTGATCTTGGCAACAGGGGAGCGGAGAAAGGAGGCCAGGATTCACCGGGTCCCTGGCCCGCCGGTCTCTTCCAAACCACGTGGGCAGGAAGGCGACCCCGAGCCCAGGGTCCTGCAGCCCGCAGGCGGGAAGCCTGCGCTCACCTTGGCCTCCTGCACCGCCTCGTCCAGGGGCAGCACTGCGTGCGCGCGGTGCTCGCGGGCGCGGTCGCACACCACGCAGATGGCGCAGCCGTCGTCCTGGCAGTAGAGCTTGAGCGGCTCCGCGTGCAGCGGGCAGCGGGCGGCGGCCGCGGCCTCCGGAGGGCTGCGCTTCCCCGGCGCGGCTGCGGGCAGGCTGAAGCGCCGGAGCAGCGTGGCCACG